ATCACTCCAAGTGTTGTTGCTTAACAATTGTACTGCCAAGAGTTCATTCTTCATAACTGATACCTAACTATTGCTATAAACTCACTAGCCACAAACAAAAGAAAAAAAGTAGTTTTTGTCATATCTAAAAAAAAAAAATCCTTTAATACACTGGAGATAAAACAGTTACACAGCTGCAGAAATTCTGACGTTGTTACTTGACATTAAAAACTTTGCTTTATTTTCTACATCTTAAATACCAGCAAGGGCACCACATGATGAACTCTTTCCATTGATTTCCCTATGTAATTTTATGAAGTCAATTTTATGAAAACCAGTATCAACCTTGGGCTGAGCTGGACAGAAAGTTTGTAGCTTGGATTTTTTTTAAAACTGAAATTACCCTCACTGCAAATTTCTTTAGAAGTTTGTCAAAAATACCATTTAGAGAAGTTTTCAGCACTTCAGAAAAACTGCACTGAAAATGAGAAACATTTAAGAGAAGCCTACAGAAGTGAAATAATGTATTTGCTCTTTATCAAAATTTGTGCATCCCAGATTGCAGTTACAATCCATACTTTTTGGCAGATGCTTAGCTCATTATCATTCAGCTGCTAAATCACAGATCCAGCCTACATCACTAATAGGATTATGCAACAACAGGCAGGTTATTACTGCTTAAAGCTCATATATTGAACTTGCTTCTTCATAACGTTTTGAGCTTCTATGGATACTTCTTTTCAAGGAAAACAGCTACATGGCTTATTTGGAAGTTCCACTCAAAAATGCAGGTTTGTTTTGGTTTTGGTTTTTTTTTTAACTTCATATCACAGTGGTAATATATAATCTATCAAAGAGAATAAAATTTAAAATGCAGTGCATGAAACAATCTAGTTCTCCCATATCTTTGTATCTCCCGTATTTATCAAACTTCCACACTCTCACTACGCATAAGAAAACATACTTGGCAATTAATAAATGTTTAAAATACTACTTCTGTATTCCTCTGCTACCACTGTGAGCAAGCGTTACTGAGCTGAAAGGAGTGGTCAGTTCACTTACCACTGAACTGCAACCATTCTTCAGAATTTCTCTACCAGAAACACTAAGACACCTTTTAGGACAAGGAATTAAGAATTTTACTGATGTAATTGAAGTAATTTAGATCAATCCAAAACAACACGCTCTTTCATCCCCTGGTTAATGTAAGTCAAGTGGTGTGATGTTTACTAACAGTTCACAACATACAGTGCTTATCATGCAGGCAGGACTCAATTTTAAACCACCCAAAAACATCCAATGAAAAAATTGCCCTGCTGGCAAACTCCATGGAAGATTATTTTCTACAAAAGCTTGTGTTGTTATAATGGAAGCTTTCAACTTCACTGGAAAGAATAAAAGTACTCTTTTTAAGATGAATACTGCTGACATCAACTTTGACTAACTACCCCTGTTCTGTATTTGCAGCAAACAAGCCATGCAACAGACTCCCATTTACAAAATAAATCCTAGTGATGCAAATTTTGATCTTTCCAATCAGAAAGAATCTCAGAAAGGGCAAGACTTAAGATTATTTAAAGCATTATTTTTTAAAAATAAATTTCAACAGGCAATTTTAAAGATTCTTTTGATCTAGTTTCGTTATCCCATTTTGAACTACCATTGCTTCCTTAGTTTTCAGATCAGGACCTAAAATTCTGTTTTATGGATACATTTCTTTATCAGATTTGACTGCAAGATCATCTTCCCCAGCACCACTTTTTTAAAACTATGAAAACATACATAAAAGCCACAAAACAGAATATTGTGCAATGTTCAGATCCTTACAGTTAAGATTCCTTTTGCCAGTGTCTCTAAAAATTTTAGTGGTTTAAGTGTTTTCCCCAGGCATTACACTCCCCTTTCCTAACTGAAACATTAATACATGTCATGCCTTACCAAAGTAATTTTGATTCTACACACTGTAAGTGTTTTAGGATACAACCATCTATATAACAATTACTTAGATTGGGGGGGGCGGGGGGGGCGCCACGGGTGTTTGTAGGGTGTCTCTTTGCTTGTTTATTCCAAATGAATAGCGTTTGACCACAATTAAAAGCTAGTACAGATGCAGGAGGATTCTTACCTTTCCAAGCAAGTATTACCAGCAAATAGATCTCAAATACTGTCATGAGACCATCACTCTGATTGAATGCAGGGCACATTACATTTCCATTAACAGCATGTTTTTATAAGTGGATCTGGTTTAATCTAAATATTGCTCAGCGAATGAAAAGAAGAAAAAAGTTTTCAGCTTTGCCTCACCTCCAGTACAAACTATCAAAGTAAAATGATTAAAAATGAGACTGTCACCCATATAACATCATTTAACTTCAGGGTAAAGCTGTGTTTAGACAATGGGAACAGCTTAATAATAATAAAAAAGAAAATCATTCTAGAACTAATTGTTAAAGAGTTCTGCTTCTACATTCCCTTAGTCTTTGAAGCATGTCTTCATATTCTACTACATAGGCAGAGGACAAAGAGAATACAAAAGCTAGGATTTACCCACAAATACTATAGACTTTGGGGATGAGGGAAGGCAAGTTTCTGCCCTTCTGGTGTCTCCATCCCCCCTTGGCTCTTCCTAGCTGAGGAATCTGAATTATTCCAAGATCCTTGGAAAGAAATATTTTTAAATGGTCACTAAGTACCAAAACTAGGTTTGACCTGAAGTTAATATCCTTGCCCTCAAGAGTAACAGAGCAAAGAGTAAGAAATGGTACTCCTTATCAAATTTTCACTGCTAATGAAGAAAATGCAGAAGTCAGAAAATACAGCTTACAGTCCATGGCAGCACTGACATTTTGCAAAGGTAAGGGGAAATAAATCTTTCATTTCAGACACAAAAAAGAACCACATTAGTAACTCTGAAATTACACAGATAAATTCAATTATTGTTTAAAGTGCATCACAGTTAAGAACAACAACAAAAAAAATCAAATAGAAAAGAACAGTAATCTATCAGAGAACTGATTGCAGACTAGGTAAAATTCACAGGAATTTGCTCCAGTTGCACACTGCTTACAAGTAATGAATGCATAGCTGAGGAGCACACCTGCCCCACAGCACAGTTGCAGCCTGTGATATTTTTACTACAGATTTCCTGTATTCCTCTTCATCCCTCTCACTACCAGAATTGTCCACAAACCCAGCTTTTTCCAGTCCCAGCATTCAGATGACTATTGCCCTGCACATCTGCTTTCTAAGTCTGATTTCAAGCCATGCTCATGCTGAACAGTCTAAAAAAAAAAAAATGTTAGCTGTTTTGCTCATACTTGAGCCTTTTCCTTAGTGATGGCACTACTTTGAGGTCCTCCTCTTTACCAGAACACACAGGAATTCAGTGACTGATAACATTAAACTTTTGTTAAGCTTAGCTGAATTTGAATCAATAGGTTAAAAAACCAAACAGAACTGATAGGTTTACAATCACACTACCTTCTCTTTATCCCTTAAAAACAGCACTATTTTTAACTTGATTTCCTAAGGGTTGGGTTTTTTTATTAGTATATTCCATACAGGCATGTGTGATCTCTGCCCACCCTAAGCCCTCAAGTTAAAAGTGCTAAGGCCAATATGATTATGTACAAAATAACTCACTTTATAAAAGTTCATTAGTATTAGCAACAATAGTAATACAATAGTATTCACCAACAAGCATCCAGCATCATATAGCTTTACATAGCATTGCTACAGAACAGCTACAAACACAGAGCATTCTATGAAGTTCTAGCTGTCAATATAGTGGAAAATAAACATTTTTCTACACCGTTGGGAAAAAAAAGGCATTGAGACATTCAGTCATTTCTAGCCAATATTCTCTTTGTGTAACAAAATACATTCTCACTCAGCATTACATTTTCAAGTTTGTACATTTTTAGTATATAGCTCTAGCACATTGTTTTTTGTTTTTAATACAGACCAGTTTTAAGTTACTATTTTAAACAGAATAAATAGTCTGTAGATCAGATAGAAAACTATTTGTCAAGAATGAATTGCAAAGTAAATTATCTTTCCATTGACAGCCCACAGGGCTACTTTTTGCCACTTTTTCATGAGGTTTTATTTAAACATAGACACAGAGAGCACATATTACATTGCTGTTGTATGTAAAAACAAGCAAGCAACCCTCCATCACCAAAGCTGATGGTTCATATGTGGATAGGGGAAAAAAGGATTAAATAAACTCTCAAGAGGCCATTTGTTTGCATAAGTTGATTTCTGAGAAACTAAGGCGCCCAAAACTGTGCTCACCTTCACCTAAAAAGTAAGGTCAATTCCTAGCATCAGCAGCTACAGTAAGTCCACTGTCACCTAGAATGAAAAATGGCATGAAACATGCAACTAGAATGAAACATGGTACAAAAGCATTAAATATATCACATGAACTCAGATTTCAATATAAAGGACCTTCTTGAACTTGGCTCATGGCACTCTGAACAAACAGCAATGCATGGATAAAGGCTTTATACCTTGAAAGTCTTAAAATCAAAACTCAGAAAATGTTTTATAGTTGGCATGATTTTGCAAAAGCTAGAATTTACAAATTCTGTAAGTTTTACAGAAGTTACTCTGAAGCAGTCAGTTACTAGATTTTAAACTGCCTGACAATATCATCCAGTCTTCCCAGAGTACCTTTCCAAAGTAATTTTTTGATCCTGCAGATTAGTACTTTATATAGAATATGAAATGCTATTCTGGAACAAATTGGTAAGATGGAACAGATACAACACTAAGATGCAGCCTGGGGAAAAGTTTAGGTAGTCTAGCTTTACGTATGCTATTTAAAATGTACTTTAACTAAACTCCATAAAAAAAAAAAAAAGAATTAAGACTGTCCTCTAAATCAAAGTTATTAAAAAAAAAAACACCCCCTCCCAAAAAACCAAAAAGAACAAAACCAAAGAAACCCACAGTTCCCTATGTAATCTTATTTTAGAACAGAAGAATGACTTTGTATATTTTGTACTCTTTGGCAGGGAATCTATGCAACCAAAACATGTCCTGACAAACTGAACCTTTCCTGAGAAGGGTCCATAGCCATAAACTCATTTGTAATGTGTTATGGGGGAAATGGCAAGTGAAAGAAGTTTGGAAGTCAACAACGTGGAATGTACCAACAGATTTATGAAGAACAGCAGCCGTTATTTACATGATCAGGGTAGTTACTTGTTCTTTATGAATTAGGTTTTCCATGTATAAATTAGAAAACTACAAAAAGTCAAAATTGGGATAAATCCCCCTGGTCTTTAAAAGTTCAAGTAAAAACATCTTTGCAGCACCTTCCTCAGACAATAGCATATTGCTCGTATAAAAGGTCTCTTATCCTATAGAAGTCCTGACAGAGACAGCCTTCCAATCCAATGCGCCCTGTTTCAGTCTGAAACAAAAGACATGTTTCAATTTATTATCTTTATATTAATGAGAAACCTAATTTTCATTTAGAATATTATTTCCCAAAGAGTTTAAGACATGGAACACCTACCCTGCGAACAGCCACCAGATTGTTGCACACGAGCACTCCTCCTACAAATTCAGCTTGTATACCTTCTCGCAAGAGAACTTGCTTGAAGTCAGACAGTCTTGGCTCATTCATAAATACAGACTGATGTCCAAGAACCTTTAAACAACACATGCAATTTTAATGTTTCTGTTACTTTAATACCTTCCATTTCTCCAAAGACCTCCTCAATATTGTGCTGGCAGCAGTGTGGCCTAGACTACAGGACTACAAATGTGAAGACTGGTTCCAGTTCTGTTCACCTGCAGCAAGACATTTCCAGGATAGGAAGGCCTTAGAAGTTATCTGTCAGGTAAGGAAAAGTTCCCTTTTTTGCTCACATATTGAAGACAAATGGAGAGCTGTCATTGAAGATCCCTCTTCCAAGCCATGTTATGCCAGGGATGGAGCCGCAGTAAGCTGTACTGCTGATCAGTCCATACTTCTATGACAGTTGTCATGACTCTGAACAGAATTTTAGCATTGTCTCCACATTTATCTAGCTCCTAGAACAGACTACATTTAGGACTGTGCAACAGTATCTTAAAAAGCAATTCTAGGATTAGGAGGCATTGTCATCATTCACTGAAAAGATAAAAATATCTACTCACATGCAAAGTATTTTAATTTAGGAGTAAAGATAAATGCATAGAAAAAGATTAATTTAATGAACTCTCAAATCACTACTATAGTAACAGAGAAATATGAATTTCAAAGATCTGTATCTCAAGTATATGAAGTATTTTCCATAGCATCAACAGGACATAATAAAATCCAAGAGTGACTAAAGGCCAAGTGACTGCCAAATCTGCAAGTACTAACTACAAGAACGAAACACGCTAATTAAAATCTTATCTTCACATATGGATGGTAGCTGTATGCTAGATACTGTTAGCAGATGCAAGAGATCATCCTTGCTGAAAAGCACAAAAACTGAACAAAGAACAGCACCAGGTTTAATAGAGAAAACCAAACATGAAACCCCAGTTTCAATTAGGCTTTCATTTAAATAAGAACACAGTATCAACCTCTAAGCACTAGAAAAAGACAAATTAATACAGAGCTCTGCGAAAAAGCCCAGATCAGCATAATTTCTGTACCTCATGAGGTGGCAGAGGTTCCAAAGTAGGAATGATCTCGCTCTCCTCACAAATCTCCTTGTCATCGTCACCGAAGAGGCTTTTCATGGCCTTCTGTTGTGCAATGACACTAGAGTCTGAAGAAGGCATATCCACTTGCATCTCTAAGTCTTCCTCTTCCCTCAGCTCTCCCTCTTCCAAAATAACTCCAGTATCCACTTTTGAAACCCGCATGTCCAGGACACCATCTATCCAAGCCAACTCAGCATCTTTAGCTTTACAGAACTGAAGGGAACTGACAAGTGAATCTTTTAACCTGACCTGGGTTGCATAAAAATGAAAGTACTATTAGTTTGATGGAAAAAACAGACAGTTCTTACTTCAAGCTTTAAAAAAAATGGCAGTTTTCCTTTCACTGTCTCTCCACATAGGTTTGATTCATACTCTTTTGGGGATGGAAAGGAAAGAATTGGTATCACCAAGGCAAGATGTTCTACACTTTCAAAATATAAATTTGTATAACCCTTATGTCACTACTCAATTAAAAAAGCTGCAGAGATCAATACCTTTCTTGTCTTGGTTAAAATAAGAAAAAAGAACCTGTATGACTGCAACCTTGAGTTAAACTTACAGCAAGAGAAATCAATTCCTTCTAAAACATCAGAAACCTTTTTTGAGGCCAAGGAGTTCCTCAGCTGGCCTTAGTAAATTTAAGGAACTTTCTACAGATACATGTAGGTTACTGAACAGCAGTTCCAAATTTAAACTCTCTAAAAAAATTATTTTATTGTAAGAATGGATGTTGTAAACATCAGATTTTAAAGTAACCAAAACATTACCTTACCCTTATTCCTCTGGTGCATTCCAGGACTTTAATCCATTAAATAAAGCCCTACTCTGCAAGACTGCTATCCACATGAGACTATGCATGATCCCCACAGCGGAATCAAGGCTGCAACTGTATGAAGGATACTGCAACTACCCACCCATCTGCAGCACAGTCTACTCAAGAGACACTGGGATTCTGATGCCCACTTACATCTATTATTTTCTAATTCAATGTCTCTTCATCTGTTCAGAAAGCTTCAAACAGAAAACCAAACTACAGTCTTGCAGAAGACTGAATTTCCCCATTATTAAAAAAAAATTCAAATTAAATACAAAGCAATTACAATTTTATTCAGATAAATATTTTGTGAAAAAAAATCACAACTGTGTCATTTCTTACACATATCATACTCTATCAAAGAATCAAAGCTATCCTCATAGCTTTAAAAAAGCCAACAACTAACAAACCAAGCGCAGAAAACACCACTGTTTTACAACTGTTAGAACTGCATAGTTTTGAACAACTGGAGCCTTCCACTTCTACTGGTTAACAATTTTCTCTGGAAAGAAGCAGAAGTACCTGTTTCAACAATCCTACTGATATTTTTTTATTAACTTTAAAAGGACAGAGGAATAAAGGGCTAATGCCTAAACAGCATGTGAGAGACTTTCCTCTAAACAACTTCAAAAGCTGAATCAGGACCATACACGATTTTCACATGCTTCACACAAGTTATCCAAGTTTTGTTATTTAGACCTTAACCACAAAAATTAAATATATTAACACAGTGCAACACATTATCATAGCCTCTCGTTCCAAGAGCCATCAAGTTAACTTTTTTTGGGGGGTAGGGGTATCTTGTTTATTTTTACCATTAACTTGCTCCTAACTTTACATGTTCATTCATAGGTACAAAACATTTTTTTCCCCTTTGCTCTCTAAGGCTCCCCTTCAGATTCCAAAAAGAATCCAGAATTGCAGCTTAGCGTACAGTGGTACTCTAGACATAGGCACTATAAATCCATTAAGACTTAAGTAAAGTAAACTGATGTTCTCACAGACACGAACCTTGTCTTTTGCACCACAGGTAAAAACGTACTGATCTCATGTTTAAGCTTTTAAATACTTCTTGTGAGTAATAAGCATAAAGAGAATGCTTACCTAGAAGACAGAAAAATGCTACTAATGTCTTGATCACACAAAAACCAAGTGTACACATCAGTAGTATCATCTCTCCTCTCCCAAAGGACAAAGGGCCAAATCAGAGTCTGCCAATATAGGTCTACTACAGTTCACAGTAGTTACTCAGCTAACAATTCCAGGACCTTACCTGGTAAATGTGAGTTTCACTGGTTGCATCTACAGTTTCATGCAGTTTTGGCATGTACACTTTAATATCTTTTCCACCAAAAGCTCTGCAACATTCTGCAAGGTCTTGACTGGCCTCAGGTGGTCCATGGACAATGATCAGTTGTCTTGGTTTCATTTGGTTAATAATTTTTTTAATTGAGTCCCCATCTGAACGTCCTTCATAGTCAATGTATGTAACTCTGGCTCTAGTTTGAATTAAAAACCAAAGAATAACATTTCTTAGTTTAAAAGATTAAACCTTTGTGTGCTCCAAAACATTTCATTTAAAAATGTAAGACATTTTGAAATTATTCTACATTAGCAAAAGCTGTCACCACAAGGTATATTACGGATCAGTACAATACAGAACTGTGAAATATCAGCATGTATGTCTATTCAACACTACAAATTCCCAAAATTCACTTACATAGCTATCCAAAGCATGAGATAAGCATACTTGAATAAGTTATTTTTTTAACAAAACACACATTTATTATTATTATTTATATTATT